TGGTCCTGTACTGTTACTCATCACAGTTTCTCTGCTCAGCTACTTGCTTTGCCACCCGTCGTTGTTTTTATCTCTGTCCATGATTTCCTCTTTCTCCAGCTGCACGGATTCAGGCTCTGTCTCTCCCTCCAGCACCTCACCCAGCCCCATGACTTAGGGATGCAGGATTAGGAGGAGCCCCCCAGTTCATCCAGTCCCCTGTAGCAGCCATGCAATCAGTGCCTTGGGTTAACGTGTATACAGCATAGCCCTTCCACAGAGCAAAAAAAGCTTCTCAACACCCTTTTTTCTTTAGGACCTGAAAAAAAAAATCAAAAACCAAAACTGTGCTGTGCCATGGGGGGGCAGTGGGAAAAATCAAGGGGACTGCTAGCGTCCTAGAGCACGGTGCCAAGAGGGGTTTTGTTCTGGGTCCAAGTTTCCTGCTCTTTCTCACTTTGTAGTTCTGTCTACGTTTCCAATTTGAAACGTTTTGTTCACTGATGCCAATTCCCCTCCAGTTTCCCTCATCTGTCCCTTCCCACACCAGTATGAAAGTCAGGAGGGCCTTAGGCAGAGGCTGAGGTGTGATGCCTTCTCTCTGCGATCCGCATGTTGCACCACTTGTGCTGCGGCTGCCGCCAAACACAGCCGATGGTGGTGAGGACTTGGTGCCCCAGATGTATTGCTTTGTCTGCTTGTACCAGCTCAAGCCCCACAGCTTCTTTTTTAGCTCCTTGCCTGCCTCTAGTCCCTAGCTGCTTCTGGCTGCCTTCTCCCTTTGCTATCTAACTCAAGAGAGATGGTGTCCATCCCTGGGACCGAAAGCCAGCACCACCTGGAGCCTACCTGGGCTGCAAGGAGAAGGAAGATGCTACTCAGCTGAGGGCTGGAACAAGCTCTTCAGGAACTGGAGCCATGAAGCGCTAGCTTGTCTGTCAGCCACATGCATATGTCTAGCATGGATTGAGTGCCTTTCTGGGAGGCACAGGGAACGTGTCTGGGGATGGTGCCTCTTGCGGGCATCAGAGCTTTGTTTGTACAAGATTAGCTGAAAAGTATCTAGCCCTGTGAAGTGCTGCTCAGTCCTGATGCAGGGTCAGGTGAGCAACCTGCTGCCTTTCTACCATTGCTTGTGGTCCATTCCCCCTGTGCCTCTGCCAGCCCACATGCTGTCTCTGTGGCAATTTTCCGGAATGGATAATTTCTGAGGCTGTTTCCTTTTCTGATGTGTTTGGATGGTAGTGGCTGTTATTTTCCCTTCTCTCTTGCAGGCTCTGCTTGCTGCGTCTCGGTGCCCTGATGCTGTCCCTCGAGCTTGGTCTTCCGTGTGTGGTGGGGAGGGGGGAGTCTGTAGCCAGCTTCAGCAGCCCACGTGCCAGGTCTCTCAACCTTGACTGCTCTTTCCTTCAGCCAGGCTGCACTTTGATCTCCCTCCCAGCTGCCAGCCCACCCCCTGCAGCTTGGCTCTGCAGGTCTGGTGAAGGCAGTCTGCATGGGTATCTAGTAAACTAGCTGGAGAGCGAAAGTTTCCAGGAGGTCAGCGAGACAAAGTCAGTGATTAGATGTCTGGCTGCAGCAAAATGGGTGAATGCCACATCGGAAACAGTGATTTCTGCAGTCTCTTGGGGAAAAAATAAGGACCATGCCGTTCTGAGCTTGGACTGAAGGGAAGGGGACATGGCGCACCTCTCTAAGCTGCTATATGAGGCTATCAGGAGACCCTGGCAAATGTCACTCCATAAGTTTCCAGCCTGCTTACATATGTGCCGTAAGCATATATGGAAGGCAATGATTCTGGAGCACAAGATGGAGGAAGGGGATATTCAGCAGAATATTATGTGGAATAGCCAGAGCTCTGCTTGTATTTCCCCAGAGCTCCTGTTGAGCAGGACCTCAGGCAGCTGTTCAGCTTCGGGTACAGGATACGATTTCAGGCTCACTGGCAAGGTTGGAACTGCAGAGAGCTGCGTTTGACACAGCTTCACTACCCACGTGGCCGCCTTGGAGGTCCTTAAATTCCCTTGTGAAAGGCAAATCTCTTATTAATGGAAGAGACAGTTGAAATCAGTATTAATTGTCGATGACACTGAAGAACTAAGTACTGAATGAGTGGGTCAGGTAAACAGTTTCTTGGAGGAATAGACTTTCAAACCCATTAGGTGCCATCCTACGCTCTCGCAATATGCTGGGCGTGACGTAAAGTTTTGGCTAGTTTGGTGCCTGCCAAAATTCATCCCAGAGGGCTTGCCTCAGCCTTGAAAGTGAGCCATGACCCATCTTGCCTTCCCTGCCACAGGGCACATGAGAAGGTAACTGCAAAAACATGGAGGTTTCTCCTTGTGCCTGGCCAGCTGGGCTGCATGAGGAAAAGGGACCTCGGTGCAAGGGCCCAGCAGTAATCTTTGTCTTCTTGGCTCTATGATATTGGGTATACGCCTTAATGACTGAGACCCGTTTTTTTCTGTTTTAATTTGTTTTCTCTTTTCTAATGTTAAAAAAAATGTCCTGAGGAAAGGCCACTGAAAAGGGCTTGGGCAATGATGCTGTTCCTCTTCCTTGGCTTATGAGGTTCCCCATAGGGTAGTTAATGACCTCCATGCTCTCTTTAATGAAAGTGTTATTTTTACCTTGTTGTCTCCCTCCAGGTGGAGGTTAGTTGAGAAGTCAGCAACTAGACACAACTGAATTTCTCTAAAATTCTACAACTGCAAAACAGTGTTTCAAACTGGTAACAAGGAAGTGTTGTCATAAGCCAGGAGAACATTGGCTCTCCAGCATGCAGGAAAGAGTGGGGTGCCCAAACACTCCGTACTGCAGTATGGACACGCACACATAGTCCTCACAACACGTCCCATGTCACCTTGGCCCAATGTGCCTGCCCGTTCTCCCTGAGAAGCTCATGTGCCTGTGTGGCAGTGGGGACATCTTCAGCTCAGCTGCCACAGCTTGAAATAACAAAGGTATAGTTGGGAAAGGTCAGTGGTGATCCCAGTGCAAATGAGCACCTATGACCGGGACTGCCTGGCATCCGCTCAGAGACATACGGCACCCACTTGCAAAGAGCAAGGTCCAAGTGAAGTAGGAAAACAAGCAAAGAAAGTGCACTAACGAAAACTCAATAAAATGAAATGAACCCTGACACCTTCAGTAGTGACACATGAGTTGCCAGGCAGGGTTGACCCAGGGGCTGTCTGCGCTGCCTCCTGTTGCGGCCAATTCTGAGTGCTCTGGAGGAAGGTGTGAGGTCCCCACAACAGGCAACTGTGGAGTAATCTGTCCTCCAGGACCGTTCTTCCTGGTCAAAACAGAGGTTGCTTGAGGTTTGAAGGTTTTAAAAGCTCTCTCTGTAGTTTGATAACACAAACTGTTCCTACTTCTTCGTTATGTGTTTGTGATTCAGCTTGTTTTTAAGTCATAGCAGTGTCTTTGTTCTCAATGACTTCTTGTGACAGGGAGTTCCACAATCCAATTATATGTTGTATGAAAAAGGGCGGAAATGAAAGTTGGAAAAGAGCAATAGCCAAGGAAAAGCCAAAAGGTTTTTGTTTGTTTGTTTGTTTAAATCATAAACTCAGAGCTAAGGGACTTACTCAAGGCTGTACAATGCTTCCGAGTTCCAAGCAGTGATTTTACTGCTGCCAACCAAACCTGCCTGTTCAATTGGCTTGGAGTTTGGTACAGACCCGTGTCTCGTAACTAGGTTAAGCTACGGAGACTAGTGACAGAGCTGCCTGAAAAAAGTTTGGAAAGAACAAGTCGTGCTGGGAGCATTAAAATGAATAATTAAGACTTGGATTCCTTTAGGGAGGAAAAGAATTTATTGCTGCTCTTTTCTCTAGCCAAGGGGGACATTTGTTATTGAATTTTGTATTTTGAGACAAGAGGCAAATGTGGTTTAGGGGGTTGGAGGGGAAGGGATTTTTTTTCTACCTGGGTAATCAGCCTACACAATTAGGTGTTCTGTGTTGATTACACCAATGGGTTATTTCTTACAGCATATACCAAGAATCTAGAATTGTGTTTCATTTCAGTAGTTCTCAGTCAGTTTTACTTTTAGAAAAATAAAGAAAGAAATATGCTGAGAAGGGAATTCTCCTCCTCTCTCTGCTGTGGTGTCTTGACATTTACACATGGAGAAGGTACCTTGCACAGCAATCTGCCTCCAAGTTTGCTTACACCAGCATAACTCTATCAACTGCAGCAGGCTCCTCTGCTTTCCGTCTGTGAGTGAGGGCACAATTAGGGCAGCTGGTCTGGCTTTGTATCCCTTGGCATCTTGGACTTTCAGTTACATTGATGCAGAATGGAAATAGAATACACTGAGACCTACCTGATAGAGAGCCTGCCCCAATACAGTGAGCCACACGGGCAAAGCAGGGGATAATCAGACCCAAAAAGCTTAATTAATGGGACATTTTCAGTTTCAGCTGGGTCATGAGCTGAGTGTTGAATGAGCTTTCTAAAACAGATGACAAACAAAAGTCTTTCAGTAATTTTTTTTTTTTTTAATTTAAATACTTTAAAAAAAGATTGAAAAGTGACAGTCCTTCGATGTGGCTGAACTATGGTCATTGCAACAGTCAGCTCGAAGAGCAGCCACAGAGCCCGTTCTTGGATGCGGGTCCCGCATGTGGTGTTTGCAGTTGGCTTGTCAGCTGTCCTTGAAGTGAGTCCACATGTTGCCTATATGCTCTATGAATGCACTGTTCCACTGTCCAAGCCATGACTTAACTGCTGTCTGCTTCTGGCTGGCTGGTATAGGCCCCTCGTCTCTCTGCTATGGATCGCTTTTATAGCTGATGGCCCAAGTGTGTTTTCTGCTTGCTTTATATAGTGTCCATAGGCAATATACTCCATATAAACTTGGGGTCATTCCTACCAGCCACAGCCAGCTAGACTTTGTTGATTGCCCTTAGGCCTGTGCTGCGTAGGGTTGTTCTTGCATTATTCTTTAAATGGTTAGCAAGAATTTGCATCTGCATTGACGTTTTGCCCTTGCTCTTCTCTCTGCTCTCCAGGAGAGTCGTTGAGCTTTGCGGATGATTTGCTTTCTGGCCTTGCAACCTCCTGTGTGGCAGCGGGTAGGAGCCACGGAGACATCCCTGAAACCAGCCTCTATTCAGTCATTTTCAAGTGCCTGGAACCAGATGGCCTGTACAAGTAAGGAGAGGCATATGGGGAGGTGCTGGGGGGTCTGGGGGAATCTCCAGTGCTATTAATTAATTATTATTAGCTTTTCTCTTACAGTGGGGTCTAAGGGCCTTGGTTTGGTCTGCACTGTGTTACACCAGACACTGTACAAATGATGAGACTCTTTTGTTGCTTTGGGTGTTAGGCTGAACTAAAGAAATGGCAAACCAGAGTCTACCAGTGCAGCGCTAGAGGCACTGGGGTTCTGTGGGAGACCCCACTGTAATAACCCACATCTTCACTATGATGGACTGCCAGGTCCGTGCCTGGTGGGATAGGGTTGTCTTACGTGGATGAACTTAGCTAATGTGATCAGACAGAAGCAGCTTGCTTACGCTGGCCAAATTGCTTGGGGAGCAAAGTAGCCAGATGTGAAAGGCAGCCTGAGCCCCCCGTGCTAGGTGCTAGTTACTAAGCTCCTATTTACGTTAGTAGGACACATACCAACACGGAGGGATACCAAATACATTCGCCTGTCATCCTGCCACTTCTGTAATGATACTTGGTCACACCTGTGCTGACAGTCTCATTCACTTGACTCTCCTGAGACAGCCCTGATAACTTTTTTGAGAGCAAGAGATTGGATTTTCTGTTCAAATGCTACAGAGCAATTTGTGCCTAAAGCAGTAGGATTATTTCAGCATCCAATCGTTAACTTCTCCTACAGTATACATGGGAGGGGTGAGGGCTCTTCAACCTCCTCTTCTAAAGGACAGCTCCAAAAACCTGCAGGCCTTCATGAGAGTAGGAAAGAGCTTCCCTGTGGATGGAGACGGCCGGGTGGATTGGAGCGGAGCAGACCATCACCTGAAGGCAAGGTAGTACGGACTGTGCGGTGGTGGGGCGCAGCTGTGCCACCCTGAGCAGAGCTCCTTTAGGGAACCCCCTTGAGGCAGGTGGGCACAGCAGTGTGGCCTCCCTTAGATTTTTATTTCTATCAGAACGGGAAGGAGGAGGCTTTGGCTGTCGTAGGTGTAACTCTGGCTCAGTAGTGGTGCTGGCTAGGAGCACACCCCAGAATTTCCCGTTGCCATTTCTGAGGGCAGCACGCCAGAGCAGTTAGGTGGTGAGGACTTCTGCTGTCCCTGACACAGAAGCCCGCAGGGAGGGATGCCGCCCGGTGGAGTGTGACTCCCTCTCCTGAAGGCCCATGCTGGCTTGGCTCAGGTCAGGCAGGGAGGTGCAGCAGCAAAGCAGGCGGGGAACTGAGATCTCCTGGGTCCCTGCCTCCCTCTTCAGACCCCTCTTCCTCCCACGTGTGTTTTTTAGGCCTGGCATCCTCTATGTCTGATGGCGGATGACAGGAGTCAGGAGAGTAAGAGGAGAGAAAAAAAGTGAGATAAAAAGGCAAGGAGGAGAAAGAGAGGCAGAGTAAGCAAGAGAGAAATACTCAGGGCTTAATGTCAGAGCGACTGTAATAATTAAAACACATTTTGTAGTGAGTAATGAAACTTTTTATGGGACCACAAAAGCAGTTAAAGCGAGAGCTGGCAAATGGTCTGTCAGCGAGAACTTTTTAAGATCTTGATTAATACTTTCCCTTTGCCTCCCCCTCCACCGCCCCCCAGTTAAGTATGTTGACAGCCTCCAAAGAGGGAAAAGCCTTTATTACACATCTCTGGAGCAGAGCTGTGTCCAGGAGCAGGGTCCAAGTGATACCTCTTGCCATTTAATCATTTTAAATGTTTTCTTGTTAAATATATATAATGCATAAATATAATTGTTAATATCGCTGGGAATTGGGCTGTTCTGAAAAGGTGCCAGGGAGAGTCTGGAACAACCACAGAGCTTGCTAATAATCCGCCTCCCATAAAATCGGTCAGTCATGAGCTATCAGCGGTGCAGCGTGCGGCTGCCAGCGCGCTGGGCAAGGGAAGCGCCGCTCCGTTTGCTGGGGAGACCGAAGCCGAGGTGAGCGCACTGAGCGGGGAGCCAGAGGGTCTGGCTCTGTGACAGTCCGGCCTGCCAAATCATCTTCCCCATCTGCTGAGCAGCGATAATTGCACTCGCCCATCTCCTTAGGGGCTCCATGATCTAATTCCTGATGTCTATAAAGGGCTTGGAGAGCCTTGGGTGGAAGGCACTGAGCTTTGCCCGGTGTTGTGTCATCCCTTTGGCCAAAGCCAACCTCCGCTGTGTGGCCTTGCGTCAGGCATGGAGAGGGACGTACAGAGGCTGGCAGTGCCTCGTGCCTTGGGGGCAGCTCAGGCACCTCTCGCTTCCTGCAGGTGCCTTCAGGAGAGGCACAGAAGTTTTTGGGGGGAGCCAGCAGGTGTCAGTGCACTGGCATCAGGGAGCCGTGGACCCTCCTGCAGAACAGCGAGGAGCCAGGTCCAGGGCTAGCACACAGCGCGGGCTCCCTCCTTTCACGCACGCTCGCGGGGCTGGGTGTGTGCTTCCCGGGGTGTGCGTGCTTACGTGCACGCGTGCGAGGACACGTTCATGTGGTGTCCGGGGGTCCTGGGCCCGCTCTCTGGGGGATGCAAAAATGTGCGCACACACACTGCAGGATGCACACTCATCAGCATCGGTGCTTACACGCCCAAGCATGCGTACCTGGACCGATACACCTACTGCTGAGCATGTTTTCTTACACTACTATGCATGCGTATATATGCAGCACACATACACATTTGCTCCAACTTTGGACCTAGCAGCAAGAGTTTGCTTAGCATCTGTGCGTTCCCAGATACATAAACACACATTATTAAATATTCCTCTGTTCAGATGTCCATACAGTTGCGACATAGCATGAAGAAAGCCAGAACAGTGAAATGTGAGGCTAACACTCTGTTCTGAACCCGTGCGGACATAACAACAACAGAAACACGGGCACAGGGTCATTTTTTAAATTGAATTTCTTCTGCTTGTTTCATTTGTTTCTGCAGAAAAATAGCTATCTTGGAAGGCTCTGACCTGGGTATAATCCTGTTTATTGCAACGCAGCAGGGCTCTGCGTTTTTGTCTAGCCTGTTAGGTGAACATGCAGATCCTGTGCAGCATCAGAGTTCTTCAAAAGCAAATGTTTTCGCTTGTTCAGTAGTCTGAGGATATCCCGTTCGCTGAAAGAAGGGACTATGAGATCGTGAAAGTCTCTCCTGCTCTGTGAATGGGACATCCTGTCCCTTTTCTTCTGTAGTACCTACAGCAGTTACACTCTGCTGTTGGCCAATCATTTGGCATATTACCAGTCTGAGATCAAAGCTGGGCTTGAGTATAGAAAGCAAAACCAGAAAATGCTCTTCAAATAAGCAAACAAACAAAGTCTGATTGATTTCTCTGCTTTTGAGACTTCTGTAATTTCAAAACATAAACTAACAAAAGGAGAACTAATTTCTTAGTCCTTTGCAATTTCAGTCTAATGAAAATATGTGGCCTGTCAGCCCTTTTTTTTCCCTTATCTGTAGTGCACTGGGGTTGCTAGTCCCTGCATGGAGGGCTTTCAAAGGGAATGCAGTTCACATCAACAAAGATATGTGTGCTCCATACGCTCACATGCACGCATGGACACTCATGTTGACCTGTCAGGCACGGGTGCCCGTGCATGTGCTTCACGCTGAAATCACATGAATACACATACAGGCAGCCTGGATGGTCTTTGAAGACTAACAAATTTAGTTTAAGCTCTGAAAAAACAAAAGGCTTATAATCGTGGCAAAGTGTACCACAGGAGAGAGGATTCTCCTGTGATCTCAGCTAGATCAGAGGCAATGCATCAAGCTTGCTCCCAGGTTGGTCTGGAAAAGCCCCTGCTAAGGCTGGGGTGAGGAAAGCAGAGGGAGAGACGTCTGCCTGTCTTTGCAGTCCTCAGCTTGTGCTGAACTAGCCGGCCAGGAGAGCAATTAATGCTGATGAGACTGATACTTTGGGCGCTAGGAAGCACCGTACTGAGGCAGGCAGTTTGTGATGCACTGAGCACCAAATGCCGGGCAAGAGAAAGGGCTCATGCTGTCTCAGAGGCCAAACTCCCCCTGGAGCACTGAGCTTGCATAGCTCATGGCCCAACACCTTCCACCTCCCCTGCAAACCCAATCGATCTCTTTGCTGCTGAGACATGAGCTTTCCTTATGCGTTCTGCAACCTCCCTAATCTCTCAGCCCAACTCGCCATCTCAGGTTCTTACCCAGTTGTTTGTTGAATGAGTGCCTCGAGATAGCTCTTTGCTGAGCTATACCTGATCGGCTGTTGGAAAGCAGGTTTACCAGCCCAGGACGTTTGTTTCAGATACCTGGGAAGACACCTAGAGCTGGGAGCCGAAAAGGGAAGTTTTGGAAAGGGAGATGAACCCTGCCTCCAGCTCTTCTATGGAGCTACAGTGCAAACACACCAACTTCTCTTCCCTACTTCTCCCCTACACCACAGATACTATAATTATAGATTAGATTAAATCCCAATGTTTCACTTTATTTACATTCCTGACCTAGCCTATTCATTTCCGGTGTTTGTGCCAAGAATCAGCACAAAATTTACTGGAAATAATATGGAAGTCATCAGGATCCCTTCCAGAGCCTTTCCTTGGAGTGTGTTCATTTGCTGAGAAGAAGCCTTGAATTTGCTTTCCCTTGGCTGGACCAGATAGGGTTACGCTGGAGTGATCCTGAACCAGTCCAAAGCTGCTGGGAAAGCAAGCTTCTGAAGAACATTGGAAAGGTGGGAGCGCAGCGTGTGCCGTGCAAACCGCTTTCTGTGGGATGAAGAGTGGGCACTTCCATCAGATGGAAATGGATTTAGTCAAACCTCAGAACAGCAACACAAGGCTCCCAGCTGCAGCCTAGACCCAGCAAAGCCTGCCTAGCCAGCTTCATCGCCAGCGGGCATGGAGGCCATCTCCAACGTGGCCAGGCTTAGCCTCTGTCATCAGATTCTGGTCAACAGTGAACAAACTTGTTTTGGCCAGCATAAAGAAAGAGGCAAAGTTGACTAGGAGGGATCCTTCGTAGCGCTGAGAAACGATTGCTATGCAACAAAAT